GCTCAAGATCTATGATCCTATTAGCTAGCCCAGTGGTTCCCAAAGTGTGTGGTCCAGGGAACTCTGGGGTCATCAGCAAGATCATCAGTTGACCCCAGGCAACTCACTAAGGCTGTCCTTACAAAGGAGCTCAGAATCAACAACATTAAAAGGAGGTTTTACATTGGAACAGGCTTCCCTTAATTAAATAGCAAATGGGGACTAAGTTCCTTCTTTCCACCAAAAACCCCCAAACACCGAATATTTTAAGGCAATATATGGATGACAGATTAGAGCAGGAAGGAAGGGATCTTAGGTCATTTCAGCCAATCTCCCCATTGTACAGATGTGGTCCTGAGAGAGGTGATTTACCTAAGGTCACACAGTGGGAGACAAAGATAGGAGTACAAAGCCTCTAATTTCAAGGCCTTTCCTATTGTGCTTAGGAACAGATGGGAATAGGTGTTATCATCATTAGTTTAATTACCAGGCTGGAACTATGGACTCAGAAAGCAGCCAAACATTAAAAGAAAGTGTGCCGGTAACAACTGGGAATATTTATTAAAATTGAAATATGATACCCTATGGTTATGTGATATGATTGTGGTCCTGTGGAAAGAGCATTAGTTTTGAAGTCAAAAGACCTGAGTTCATATCTCCACTCTGCCACTGACTGATCTCCCCTGGCTCTGGTTTCCTTATCTTACATGAGAGGCAGGACATCTAAAGTCACTTCTGGTTCTAAGTCAACAATCCAGTTCTGTAGACCTAGGAAATTCATTGCCTTGGCCCACAACATCCCAGAAACTCTGAGGGGCGTGAGAAGGGCAAGGCAAAGGAGGATGGGTTTGCAAAAATGCTTGTGTGTTGATTCCTTGGACTCTGCAAGCTGATTAAGTTGAGCAGCAGATGAGGTGACAGGCTTCCTTCCCTCCCTATACAGATCTATCACTTCTGTTACCCCGAAAAAGAACCACCCCCATAGGAAATGAGTCATTCACCCCACATCTGCCTGGTTTGGGGGAGGAGGTTAAGAAAGGAGGCAGGTAGAGCAGAAGAGTAAGAGATAAGAAGGGACGACAGAAAGAGACTTTAGAAATAAGAAAGGTTTATTTAGCAAAAGCCACTAGACCGGTGACAACATCCAGGGAGTAAGTGCACTTACATGGACAGAATCATTTCCCAGAGAGTTGAGTCAATAGAGTTAATGAAACAACAGTTGTAGGAAGGGAAGAAAGGGGAAAGGATCGGGAGGAGAATAAATGAAACATCAAATCAACCCTCAAGAAAGCAAGATCAGCAGATAGAGAGCAGTAAGGCCAGAGAAGTTTTACAGACAGTGCTGAGATTAGCAGGAATATAATTACACATTTACAATTCCAATGTACAGTCGAGGTGAGCAGAAGCTGCCTTTCCTTCCCTGGCCCCACACACAGCCCCCTGTGCAGTGATGGAGTGGCACATTTTCCTCGGGAGTCAGGGAGTCCACAGCCTCTGATCATCCCTGATAACAGGTGCTTTGCCCACACACACCTGCCTCCCCCCAACTCAGTCCATATCTCCTCCACAAAGTTGCAGAACTGAAGAGTGAAAGAGAAACAAGTTAGCATAGTGAATAGCAGGAAAGGAGAGGGGTTGGGAGGTTGCGTGGGGGACTTCACTGGGACAGGAGGTGTAAGATGCTCCAGTTCTTACCCTGTCTTCCAGCTGAGGGTTGAATGGCTGAGGCCACCTTGATGCATTCTGGCTGTGCCCTCCCCAGCTCTGAATCTAAACACGCTTCCCTTTGGACACACAGTGACTGCCACCCATTCTTCAACATGTGGGCACTCATGTGGCTCATGCAATGTAAGATACCAATACCTGAACAGTTGCCACAAGGAATATCTGGGACTAGCCCAGGTGATGGGAGGAGATAGGATAATGTTGACTGAGCAAAAGGAAGTCGTCCTTGGGTCAAGAGCAAAAATCTAAAACTTTCCTTCTATTAACAAGCTCAACCTCTCAGCCTTTTTAATTCTTCCTTTCATTGAAGCAAAAGGTCCAGACTAGAAGGAAAAAAATTATAGTCAGGCCACCCTTTCCAAGAAAAAATAAGTGTTCCCAATGGGGGTGTTTTAGGGTATAGCCATCACCTGGAACCAAACTCCAATCCCAAATAGTCAGTACCTAGCAACACCAACTCTGGCTTTGCCACTCAACCCAGTTTCAGATCGGTGGGATAACAGTTTTTTGTGGTCTTCCCAACTGGACTGCCAGCAGCATTGGAAGCCAGAGAGGAAGCAGAGGAGCGAAAAGGTCTTGAGGGAGTCAGAAATATCTCTCCATGGAGTGAGATTGGCTCTGAATTTAAAGCCTGGAGGCCACATTCAGTACTAAACCTGCCTGGTTCTTACATCACCTTTACTTTGTTCCATCCCCATTTCCCCTGCCCCCAACTCTTTTCTTTCTACATTCTATTTGGTTTTGCCTTTGTCAGCCTAACTCTTGCCATAGTTGTCCTCTCCATATCATTTGGTCACCTTCTCATTCCATCTCTCTCTCTCTCTCTCTCTCTCTCTCTCTCTCTCTCTCTCTCTCTCTCTCTCTCTCTCTTTATATATATATATATATATATATATATATATATATATATATATATATATATATAATATATATGCATACATACATATTTTCTCTATGTATATACACGTCTATAGTGTATATGTTCATATCTACACATCTACATATATACACCCATGTACACCTTCAAGTACCTTGGGCCCTATAATAGGTTGCCTCCCAGCACAAATTCCTCTTACCTAACAGCACAGCCTGTCCTGTCCGTTCTGTCACTGGCTTCATCTTTAGCTCCTGCTGGCCCACAGCAGGCCACTGGCATTGTCAGATCTCCTCCCTCTCCCTGCAAGGCTCTCTGGTGAGCAAAAACTTATTTCTTTTAAGCTGCCTGTTAACAACACAGTACATTAGGGCTTTGCAAACCAGAGAGGGCAGGACCAAACGACTCAATTTTCTTGTCTTATGGGCTTCTCCTAGAGTGCTCTTCTCCCATTATCAAGTAATTTTACCTAGGCCTAATTCAGTATTTTTAAAAAATACAAATAAGACTAGTTCAGGGACAAGATTAATCAATTAGAATTATCTTGAAACTATAAGAAATGGGATAGAAGGATATTTTGATAGAATATAAGGGCAGAACCAACAGACAATGGAAATTTTGTTCTTGGGTCCTTCCCATATACATGGGGAAGTTGGGCAGTCTTCAGGAGCACACATAAATGTCACACACAAACATTGACTATTTCCAATTAAATTGCATCTGGTATGGTAATCTCTGGAGAGAAATATGGTAAAGCTGTATGATTTTTTTTTTGTCCCATGATTTGGACCATTTGGTCCAGAAGAAAATGTAGCAGTTATATGGAGGATGGGGACAGGTAGAACATTCCTTTTCCTAATTTACAAAGGAAACTTAAGGTTGAAACATATGATTTGGGAACAAAACATCCTTCTTGGTGACCAATCCCTTCAACAATCCTTGACCTCTGGGCCTATAGTTTTGCCCTCCAAGATGGAGGACAGAGTTAATTCCCTCAGGAAACACTGATGGAATCCAATAAACCCCAGTTTTCCTTCAGGCATTTTCTAAATTCCCATTAAGAATAACCAGCTGCTGTTTCACTGGACAGAGAGAACGGGAGCTTTTTCTAAAGGCTCCTCTACTAGTCTTTTACCATATCCGTATCTTTGAGGTGCTGGATTGATCACTCAGCTATTCTAGACAGGTGTGCATATGGACAATGGTGATGCGGCTAACAATTCCTGACTCAAGTGGGAGAGGGCCCATTTGGGACTCCCGTTGGTCAAAGCCCTTCCCAGCTACCAGTCAGTGTCCCTTTAACAAACTGAAAAAGCCCTACAAAACTGCATGGGGAAGGGAGGAGATAGGAAGAAAGGCTGAAGTCCCCTGAAACTCTGAGGACATGGCTTCTGTTGGCAGGACCTGTAAGTGTCCGGGCCACTTTCCCACCATAATTTTGATGGTCATTACCTTTTATAAAGGGGAAAAGAGGAATCCCATACCCAAAGAAAGGACCAATCATATTTTTCCATGACTCTTTCACCTCTCTGTGGGCTTCAAAGGATTACATAAACCAAGATGGCTGGTCCTGTAGGGGACATGCCACTTCCATATTTCCACTAAGGAATAAAATTCCCTGCCTCTGTTTCTAGCACACTCAGCCCTGTCATGCCTAGCACTGGCTCTACTTTCAATGAAGACAAAGTTAGGCATTGGGTGACAGGCCTGATCTAGGAGAGGTATCTAAGAAGATACTCCATCAGGTAGCATCCCCCCAACAGGGAGTACAGGAAGAGGAGGGGGCTGTTGTAACCTCATGGAATTATCAGCCAAATCTTTATGACACAGAAGTCCTTCCTGCATAGGCCTGGCAGGTCTGGAGAGGGCAAACCTCTAAAGGGATATAATGGGGCCCAGAAAGCCATGTTTGACATTGGGAATTATACCCTTTTCTTTTCTTTCCTACTTTCCCAAATTAAAACCCTAAAACCTTTTGGGAAACCTCAAGCTTCTCTAGGCCCCACTCACCACCCCACTGGGCCAAGAAAGATGTTGCCCAGGCTGGTGGTGCTCCCAGTCTCCCTGCTACCACAGGCCATGGAGATGATGCCCTCCCCACATTGTCTCTGCTGCCCTTCATCCCCAGAAGCCTAGTTGCCGCTGCCACCGCCTCCTACAGGCACCTACACTGCAATCTCATCGTCCAGGCTATCCCCCAGCTCCTGCCTCTGCAGGACATTCAGCAGGCGGGGAGGCTCCTCCTGAGACCAGGAGTCACGCTCCTCACTCTCGTCCGTGTTAGACTCATATTCCGAGGCGATGCCTGACTCCCGGAACTTGATGAGCTCCAAGCTGCCCAGGAGAGGCTCTCCCCCTGATGGGGTGTCCCCAGGTGGCAGGAAATGAAAACACTCCAGCTTCACCAAACAGTCGCGCCTACCTAAGGGACTGCCCACCGAGTGGGCGAAGTCAGCAGAGCTGGGGCCTAGCAGGGGCAGGTGGAGGTCCTCGGACTTGGGGGTTGTGGGGTCGCAGAGCACGGGAAGGACGCCAGAGCGAAAGGTGATTTCCAGCAAGCTGTCTTGGGAACCCACTGGTGAAAGAGAGAAGAGCAAGAAGAGATTGGAGGTTAAACAAGTTATAGGCCAGAAATGCTACCATGCACCTCTGGGCCTGAAGGGCTGAGCTTTTATAGGCACTAAAAAGATCACCCTGGGAGGAAAAGTCATCCTGGGCAGTGTGCTACAATGAAGAGAGCGCAGGCTCTAGGGTTGCAAGACCTAGGTTTAAATTCTGCCTCTGACACTGTGCAATCTTGGGCAAGTTACATTTTCCCTCTCTGAGCCTCAGTTTCCACAACTGTAAAAAGAGGGGGTTGGACTCTATGTGCCCAAGGTCCCTTCTAACTCTAGACAGGATCTTAGGATCCATGGACCACATCCACCAGAATACTGTTTCTCAATCCAAATTATATTGGTCTTAAAAACAAAAGGCTGAATTCTCTACTTTTGGTCACTTAGCTGACTTTCATCTAGGGACTCAAAGTAGGGAGTCTGAGGAGCTAGAGAAAAGGAGGGATCTGGGAGTGGGAGAATCCCAACACAGACTTGGATAGTAAGAAGTTTCTAGCCCAGTAGAAATCTGCCAGACCACTGGAGCATAATGGAGAGAGAGAGTCTTAGAGTCAGGATGACCTGGGCTCAGGTCCTGCTACTGACCAAGAGAAAGTCACAAGCTCTCAGTGCCCTTTGCAATGCTCTTAGACTGTTAAGTTATAGAAGAAGTGCCCAGCTCTCTATCAGTGGAGGGAAGTTTCGCACTGGGAGCACTGTACTCCAATGAAACCAGAATTCCATCTGTCAAAGGCTGTGGATTGGGAAATGCTATCCTAGAGACACAAGCCATGTAAGTTTCTGTTGTCCCCTTATCCTTCTAACACCAAAAGGACCTATGAGACAGCAAACCCTCAGTATACATGGCTCATCAGTCAACTCAAACCTCTTTGCTAATCACAATCACAGTTTAGAAGGTCAGTAAGGTTGGGGGAGAGGGAAATCCATCACAGGAGGTGGGAAACAGAAATTGGGAAATAATCCGAGAATTACTCCATCTAATTTGTGTTTCATCAGGCCTGTGATGGGTTAATTCCTGGGCTGCCTGTGAGCCAGTGGTTAAGGTGGCCTAGACTATAGGAACACCTGATCTTTTTTAAATTTGAAGTTGAGAAGCAATGGAAAGTGTCCTCTACAGCTTCAAGCATGCTACAGGCATTTGGCAATGAATGGTTAGGAACTGGCAGCCCCAAAGTCCCAGCTTCTTTTGATTGCAAGGCAGATGGAGGCTGATTCAATGCCTTGAAATGAGGTTTCTGGTGAGAAAAATCAGTGGGTTCAAAAACCTGCATTAATGTCCAGTACAAAGTCATGGGTATGTTTGGATTAAAAGGAAGGCAAGTGTCTACCAAATAAATCCAGATGGCCCAGTTAAGTGACCCTGGATCACTCTTTTAAAACACAAAAATGGACCTAAGGAAACTTAATCCAGCTCACACCTAGGCAAGGTTAAGGAGATCAAACCCTAATGGAGGAAGTGGAGACATGCCCCTCATATGATCCATCTCATTTTTACAGATGAGGAAGGTCACACAGCTAGTTAGTGTCTAAGGCAGGATCTGAAATCTTGCTAACTCCAAGTCCAGCATTCTAGTCAATATACTATCTAATAAAACATCTGGATTCTAACCCTGCTTTGCCAGTGACTTTCTGTGTGATCCAGGGTACATGGGTTGACTTCTCTCAAACTCAGTTTCCTCATCTTTAGCTGATAGATCCCCTTTCCCTGTCCTCCCAAGGTTTGTAAAGACCAAAGGAGAGAAAATATAAGTGAACTCAAAGTTTCTTCTCACAACAACCTTGAGAAGCAGGTGAGGAAACTGAGGCCCAGTAATACCAGTAATGGGAAAGCTAGGGGGTGTAGTGGATAGAATACTGGGCTGGGAATCAGGAAAACTCATCTTCATAAGTTCAAATCCAGCCTCAGAAACTTACTAGCTGTGTGACCTTGGGCAAGTCACTTAACTTGCCTCAGTTCCTCATCTATAAAATGAGCTGGAGAAGGAAATGGCAAACCACTCCAATATCTTTGCCAAGGAAAACCCCAAATGCAGTCACAGAGTTGGACATGACTGAAACAACTGAATAACGAAGACCAGTAATAAGAGTGGAATGAGGAATTTAAGGCCAAGTCTCTTGACTGTAAGCCCAGGACTCTATTACGCTGCTTTCCTATGCCCTTAATTCACCCTGAGAGTCTGCCTTGTGGCAAAGTCAACATATAAGCAAGCCATCCTAGGGACGTTGGCTCACATCACACATTTCCCACAGCCCCAGCACCCAGGAGGCGTTTCGTAAACACCAGGTTGATCCATGGGGCTGTTAGTTGTTTATTTAGAAAGCAGGGCTGGGTCATGGGGCTGCTTCATTCCCTGCCTTCCTCAGGAGAGGGGTTGCAGAGAGAGATGACATTTGGGCTCTGATGAAGCAGCCCTTAAGGTCTTCTTCCAACCTTGGGCTGGTGAGTGAAAGCAGAGAGTTGAGAGAGGGGCAGTGGAAGGGTCACTTACTGGCATCGTGTCCTGACAGTTTGAGCTCAAGCTCCTGCACTTGTTTGACCAGCAAAGAGATGTGCTGAAGCATGTCCTTGTTCTGCAACAGGAGCTGGTGGACTCGTGCCTGGGCCTCCAGTCGAGCCGCAGCCTCTGCAGCCAACTGGTCCTTGAGTAAGTGAACCTGTGTGGTCAGCAGAGAGAGAGAGAGAGAGAGAGAGAGAGAGAGAGAGAGAGAGAGAGAGAGAGAGAGGGAGGAGGGCTGGTAAGTCAGTCAGTGGGCTGCAGTCCTGGCTCAGTGACAACTCCCTGAGAAAACAGCTGCCCTTCACATTAACTTGTAAGCTTCTAGGAGGCCAGGGCTATTTCACGTCTGTCTTTTATCCTCACAACCTAGTATAGTACCTGGTATACAGTAGACACTCAACAAATGCCTGCTGATTGATTAAACATGACAGAACTTCCCGAACCGTGAGGAATTGGGCTTGGAATCACCCTCCCCAGGGATACCTAGAAATGCCTGGAGTTACATGGCATCTTATACACTACTCTGTGCATCATGGCCAAGGTCTAAGATGACTCAGACCCTTCCTCCAACAAGTATTCCCTGACTGCCACAGGACACTGCAATCTTTCTAATATAGTGCTTAGATCACTGCTCTGTTTTGAAAGTTAGGCCTACCTCTCCAACAAATAGAAAGCTCCCTGAGGGCAGGGACCAAAGACAGCGCTTAACCCAGTTGTCTTACATATAGCAGAGAATTAAACTTTTATCTATTGATTTATAGGCAAAGGGCTCTTCCCATTATACTGGGGCTAATAAAGTAGAAAGGATCCAGAGGACTCACTGTATCATAATAAAAGACATCAAGGAGCATTCCTAATGGCATGGCAGGGAACGAGGGCACTGTCTTTCAGTATTTGAAGGGCTATCTTTTGAAACAGGAATTAGGTTTTTCTGCTTGGGCTTAGAGGGAAGACTGATTTGTTTCAATATAAGGCAGATTTAGGTTCAACAGGTAAGGTGAAGCTTCCTAACAATTAGCAAACACCCAAGGAGAGAATGGGTAGTCTAGAGGAAGGGGAGGTATGTGAGATTTCTTTCCCATGGTGGTGGCGGTTGGGTATCTTTAAGCTGAGCCTGGGTGACCCTTTGGCCAGGATGTTGTTGAAGGTACCATCTTCAGCTGGGTACCTTCCCAGCCAAATGGGTTCATTTACAGGGCACTCAGCTTTTTCCAGGCATTCTGGCAGAATGCAGATGGGGCTTGGGTATTTTGTATGGGTCCTTTGTGGGTATGTGACTGGCTGGGTGGAGCTAACAAACACGGCAGGCCTTGTGCTGTGATGGGGATATGTTTCTGCTCCTCATCAGGGAAGACGGCAGGAAGGATCTCAAGAGGGCCCTGAACAAGGGGAATGAGACCCCTCGATGCCTGTGAAAGTTGAGGGTGAGGGGAGAAAGGAAGGTTTTTGTAGGCAGAGGTAGACATGGGGTGGATGAAGACATGGAGTCAATGCTGGGAAACTGAATGAAGGAAGAAGTCCAAAAGTCAGTTTGAAAGAGGGAATGATTCTCCTTGTGGAGGAAGAGCAATGGTGAAGGGAGCATGAAAAAAAAAAGACAGGAAGAGAAAAGAGAAGGAAGATGAAAATATGGTAGAAACGAGAGGAGTAACAATTTCCCAGAGCAACACAACAGTTCAATAAGTAGATGCCCAGGACTGCTCTAGAGGGAATTAAACCATACATGGTGTTCAGAAGGTTGGTGTACTCTTATAGGGTCACCGATTTTGAACTGGTAGGGACCTTAAAGGTACCTTATTTTATAGACGAGGAAATTGAGGCCCAGAGAGATTAAGGCTTGTCTAGGATCACAGAGCTAGTAAGTGACTGAGGTAGGATTCAAATCCAGATCTTCTTATTACAAATCCAGTAGTAATAGTTGGGATCCACTGACCAAACCATGAGGTGGCTACCAGATCTCTAGCTGAGGTGCCTGGCCTTACTGGGAGGGAAGACAGAGTCTGGAGTCAGGCATCCCAGGCTGACACAAAGTAAGCACTTAAAAGCTTGTTAACTGATAACTGCATGATTCTGGGGAAGTCACTTAATCTCTCAATGCCTCAGGCAGCTCTTCCACTGTAAGTTATCGAGATCTACTGTTGTTCAGTTATTTCAGTCATGTCTGACTCTTCATGATCCTGTTTTGGGGTTTTCTTGGCAAAGATACTGGAGTGGTTAGCCATTTCCTTCTCCAGCTCATTTTGTAGATGAGGAAACTAAGGCAGACAAGGTGAAGTGACTTGCTCAGGGTCACATAGCTAGTAAGAGTCTGAGGCTGGATTTGAACTCAGGAAGATGAGTCTTCCTGACTCCAGGCCCAGCTTTCTATCCACTTTGTCAGCTAGTTGCCCCAAATTAGAGATAGATTGCCTATCTAACTATCAGTTTCCACACTGAGCTTGGTAAGAAATCGCAGGGCTGGACCAAATGGACCAAACTACATTATTTACATGTTTGCCTCTTTCACTGTCTGTCTATCCTGTGGCCTGGCTTTCCCCAAGGGTTCGGGTACCCACTATAAGCTCCTAGAGAAGCTGACTGTCTCAATGCATGGTTGCTCCTCTCCCTTCTCAAACTCAGTGACCTGACCTTGTTCTCAGCTCTTCTGATAAGAATCACTAATATGATTCAGTTTCTACTTTCTACTCTGTCCCTGCAATAGGAAGGTAATGGCAGGAATCTGATGCTACCCTCGCCTTCTGTCCCTCTCTCCTGGCATTTCTAATAAATTGCATTGATATCAGCCAAGACACCTGCTTCACCTTTAAGGATTGACTGCAACATTATCAGTGCAGAGAAGAAGATGGTGAGAGTTGGAATGAGCTGTGGCAAAAAAAAAAAACAAAACAAAAAAACACCGGCCCTTTGGTCTCTGTAAATTAAAGCATGTTGTGAAATCTTAAATAGGATTGGGTAGGGGTAGGGAAAGAAAGAGGTCAGGAGACCTATTCATCCTGGCGAATAGGAGAGTCTGGTACAGTGGGAAGAGCAGTGGATTTACTTGGCTTCAGATCCTAACCCTGTTCCTTAGCAACCCAAGTCTCAGTTTGCTCACCTGTATAATGAGAGGGCTGTACCAGATCACCTCTGGTTACCAGCCAGTTCTCAATTCTGACTCTTTCCTCCTGCCCCAAGGGAAGGAAGCTGACTTGTGGCTCTAATGCCTTTTTTTTTTCTTAGATTCAGTTTCTAATTCTGAGTATGGCCACAGTTCAATCACATCAAGTGAGTAGAACCATGGTGGTGACATACAATTTTTCTGTGTTCACACAAGCCCAATCAGGTAGGAATTGGGAAAAAATAATGAAAAGTTACAGAAATGCAGAAAATCTTGGCTGTGTCACCTTAACTTCTCAGGATCAGACGATTTTTTTAATGTCTCCCTCAGACAGGCAGCTAGGTGGTACAATAGATAGAGCCTGAGACTGAATCAGGAAGACCTGAGTTTCAATCCACTCTCAGATAGTCATTGTTTGTCCCTGGGCAAATCACCTGCTGGCTGTGTGACCAGAGATACTTACTAGCTTTGTGACCTTAGGCAAATCACTTAGCTCTGTTTGCCTCAGTTTCATCATCTGTAAAATGAGTGAGAGTAGGAAAGGGCGACCCATTCTAGTATCTTCCCCAAGGAAACCCCAAATAGGGTCACAAAGAGTCAGATACAACTAAACCACAAGGCACTTAATCTCTGTCTGTCTCAGTTTCCTTAACTGTGAAAGGAATAACAGCACCTACCTCCCAGGGCTGTTGTGAGGATCAAATAAGATATTTGTAAAGCACTTAGCAAAGGATCTGACACATAGGAGGCAATTAATCAATTCTCCCTCCCTCCCTTCCTTTCTCTGACTTTTTATAATCTTTCTGCGAAAGTCACCTCTCTTTCTTCCTCAAACTTCTTCTAGCACTTTGCATTTGTCCCTATTTCATTTTCTCTTGTTATCCCAGTTAGATCAAATGTACATATGGACTATTTGTGTCTGACTGTGGTAGAGCCTTCCAAGCTCATATCGGTCTGATCAGCCACAATTGGACCACTCTACCTTGACTCCAAAACAGTAATGTCAGGTTGATTCTCTTCCAGAAAGGACAACAATCAAGCAACCACTGCTGTTTCTAGATTGCAAACTCCTTGTGGGGAGGGACTGTCTTTTGCCTCTTTTTATATCCCGAGGTCTTAGAGCAGTGCCTGGCACATAGTAGGTGCTTAATAAATGTTGATCAAATTATATGCTTGTCCTTTTCTCCATTAAACTGTAATCTCGTTGGCAAGCAAGACCATGTCACTTTCTTTCCTTTTTGTGGGGAAAGGGGAGAAGAATTGGACCCATGATTTCATCAGTTAAAGAAGTTCCTGGTTTGAGAATATCTGGAACTTGTCCATACAATTTATAATTTTAGAGAGTGGCCTGGGGGCATTGAAAAGTGAGGGGACTCATCCAGGATCAGAGGCCAACTTTGATCTAAGGTCTTCTGGACTTTGAGGCTGACTTTCTATATCCCAGACCACTCTGACTCTCCCTCTCCTTCCATGAATAGGCACTTCATAGGTGACTGGTGAATTGAATAGCACAGTGATAAGTGATGCATTTTCACATTTTGTGAGTGTGAAAGCTAATGCTTAGCCCAAAGACCCAGAGCTAAGGAGCCCAGCCCTCTGTGCAGCTGTCAAAAGTGGCATCAGGCACAGAGCTCCAGCCTGACATTACTATGCTGCACATACCCCATATGGGAGAAAGAAACCAAAGCACAGAATCATCTAGATTTCTCAAAACACCAAGGTCTACCAAAGCTCTGGCTGTGCAAGCTTAAGTCTAGGAATCAAACATTAAACTGGGAAATCAAGAGGCTTTGGTTTTATTAGGTTTTATCCCTAATCTGTTGTCAGTTTTAGCAATTTGTTACAGTTTTCTCACCCATAAAATGGGGACACCATCCCACCATCTTCCTCCTTATCTCATGAGGATGTTCATACAGTTACAGATCTGGAGCTGGAAAGGACCTCATAGGCCCTCTAATCCCACCCACTCATTCTCTTTTAAATAATTGAGGCACAATGAGAATAAGTCCTTGAGGACAAACAGGTAGTATGTGCAACAGGTCAGATTTGAACTCAGATCCTCTGACCTCAGGAAGGTAACCACATTCACAATTATGACTAGATTAATGTCCAACCTCCCATATGGCATGGAAAAACCTGCCTCTCTTTACTATTCTTTTTTCCTTAAGTGTAGACTGGATATAGGGAGAAAGCTTCCTAATAATTAGACCTGTCCAAAAATAAAATTGGCTTCCTTGGGAAAGAGCAGGTTTCCCTTCTACGGAGATCATTAAGCAAAGACTGAATGACCATTTGTTAAGAAAGTTAAAGAAGGAATTTCTATTTATATAGATCATAGATTTAGACCTAGAAGTGACCTGAAAGGCCATCAACTCCAATCCCCTCATAACAGATGAGGAAACTGAGGCACATAGCAAATATGTGCCCAAGACACGATTTGAACCCAGGTATTCTTGACTCCAAATCTGGTGCTCTATCCAACCATATCTACACTCTATCCACCATCTATTCATGCTGCCTCTATTCAGGTTGGACCAGATACCCTTAGAGGTTCCTTTAAATTCTGAGATTTCATCAAATTTCACAAAATTTTGTGATGTTATGACTCACCCAAAGTCATAGAATAATTTTCAGGGTGAGTCAGGAGTTGAATGATAATTTTTGCACTTTGGGTTGTTTTCTCTCCATAAGAGGGCAATGTTCAGAGTCACCCCTTCCCCTTTCCTTGCCCTCTAAGAAAACCCCATCCCCAGAGGAAATACAGACAAACAATCCACTCAATGTTGAGCCTACTTGCCTTGACTCCAGCTCCTCCATCAGAAGTGGGGGCCGAGCCAGGCTGGTGTTCAGGAGTGATAGGCACATGGAAATGGCAGTGGAGGGAACCAGAGCAATTCACCCCGCTCTACCCACCCTCCCCTAAACACACACGCAAATATATAAGCAAAGGCATCAGCCACTAGCAGAGGGGTGCACTACTGCTAGGTCATGCAGAAGGCAGGGGCCACAGGGATGGGGGAGTGGGCATGAGGCTGCTGGAAAAAGCCACTGCCTGCCACGGAACTAAGGAGCCTGGCAAGAACAGTGTGGAAGGGTGCGGCCTTGAGCACGGCCACTCTAAATCTAGCAATGGCGTTCCCTGTCACAAAGCATTAATAACTTGTATATTTGTTTCTGAACAAGCAATAAGACAGGAGAATGTTTTAGTAAAGAATACTGAGTTACAGTAGCTTTCTTCTCATGTTCTAGTCAGGTACTAATCTGTAGACCAAATACAGCCTACTTAACCAGGGCCAATAGCCTGTGGTGTTCAGACTAGTGCCAAGGTGGTATGGAGTCAATCTGTGGTCATGCTGGTGGTGGCTCTGGCTCAAGGCCTAGCCATGTCCGTATCCCTGTCCCCAGAACTTCTGGTTGTACTAGAAGCAGGAAGCTGTGGCAGCCAAGGAATGTTCATGCTGGGTCACAAGAGTGGGCAGAAGGATTTAGAGAAAGTGTTCTTTATTTACATTGAGATCCAACCCAGAAATGACTACAAGAAGTGAGTGAACACATCCTTAACCCACAAACATGGCCCTAGGCCAATATAGGGTGGACCTGGGAGGTCTTGGATCAAATTAGACTCCCAGGCCTATACACTGGAGCAGGGTTAGGGAGACAAAAATCCCCACTAAGCTCTCCTTCTCTCCTCCCTCCCTACTCTGTTCATCCCTCACTCCTAGGCTAGAACCAGACAGGCATATGTGGGCATTATGGTATATAAGGCAGTATGTGTGACTGACTGCTCTTAAGATCTGTGTTTATCATATCTTGTCCTAATCCCAAGATCCCACAGGACTGGTCTGTTTATGAGATACAGGGAGGGTGATGGACCTCCCGTGATAAAAAAAGGAGAAAGAGCTCCATTTTAAAATGTTGAGGTCAGAGTTTCAGCCTTTAGAAAACTGAGGAAAGTTAATATCTTAATTAACTGAGATAGAAACCTTGAAATCTGGCACAGAATGAGTACACCTAAAAAACTAACCCAATATGAATGCCTAGCACTGAAAACTGAAACCAATTCCACTCATGAAGATATCCCAAGCATACTGAATTTGAGCTGTCTTGAATTAACAACTAAATAATTCTCTCCCTCTTCTCTCTCTTTCCCTCTCTCTGGGTGGCAGTTGGCCAAGATAGGGACACTCTAACAAACAGAAAGTTTTCACTCCATTATTTCAAATAGGAAATGAAAGCAAATGAGATACAAGTAAAGCACTTTTCATGCCTTGAAGTGCTATGTAAATGCTAGGTCTTTAATGGGAAGCCTGCTTAGCCCTAGGTCTACAGAGCCTGTGAGCTGACAGTGACTCATTCCACGGGCACAAAGACTGCAATGCCATTCTTAGGCAGAAAACAAAGAATTAGCCCAAGGTATTCTTGCCTTCCAGGGACCATCTGCACAGAAATAGGAGCAGGGGACACCTGATGTCTTTTGGGTGTTCATTCCTGTCCTCCATTGGAAATGCCAATAGTGCCTCACCAGTGTCTGTGCTGATCTGAAAGGGCATCTCAAGAGATCAAGCTAAGCAAACCCAACCCTGGGGAGGGAAGGAGGTCTCTGGAGAAATCTGGAGCTGGGAGAGATCAAGGGGGGTAGGTCAGCCATCACATCTGCTGTCTTCCTCTGAGTCAGGTACTAAGACTGAGAAGTTTAACATCTGACCAGGACCTCATGAGGCTGTCATTTATGCCACTGGATCCATGTACCCAGCCACTCCCAGGGATCCGATCCTGGCTGCGGGTGCACACGACAAGCTACAAGTCTGGCTGTCTGGCTAGCTGAGCACTCCGGGAATATTTCTCTCATTTTGGCTGAGAATCTGCGGATCAATTCTCTTTGGCATTTAGTGGCGAATTCAATTCAAAAGCTTCTCCCATAATATTCACCATGAATATTCATCAGGTCCTTTCTTAGATAAATAATAATTACTTGGCAATTGACATGCTGAAAGAGAAAAAGAACACTCTTGGGGAGAATGGATTCCCATTCAATGTGCAATTTTAAAATGCAGCAAGAGTGGCCTGACAGACCACACCCTGGAGAGGCTCTAGTCTTTGTCCACAGGAGGAAGATGAGGCTCCAGAGCCTAAAAGGCAACATTAGGGGTGGGCAACCAGCGCATCCATTTGAGCAAGGATTTATTTTTTTCCAATCCAGGAGTTCATTAATGAAATTCTCTCTCTGGTACTAGGAACACCTTAAACCCTCTCCTCTTGCCTCCAAGGTCCCTGCTCCAGCAGTGCAACCCCAGGCCCCAACCCCACTGAAGGTCTGTGGCATTGGCTGAGGGGCAGTGCCAATGGGACTCCTATAACAAGGCTTTCTAGGAACCTGGACAGCATCTAAGAGAAACCTAAATCATAATGAGATCTATGCTATGACCGGTGGTGTTATAACCGTGGTCCCAGGATATATGGAACTGGGTCAGACAGTATTACTCTCAAAGAAACATCCTACACCCCATGGTACGGAGGGAAAAAATTGCAATAGTTTCAACAATAGCTTCCAAAAGTTCTTTCCCTTCTCCCCAGCTGGGAGGAAAGAAAGAATGAGAATGTCTACCCTGTAATAATAACAAAAATCCGCTTTTCAATATCACTTCAAAACTTACATATTCTTTGATTTTACAAAGAATCCTAACAGCAGCCCACCAACAGTGCCAAGCATGGCCTACTTTGTCCTCTCCCTTTCCCTAGGCATCAGCCCTCCTTCTCAACCTGGGCTCTGACTCTAAGATGAATTTTTATTTTAAGATCTTTAGAAGGGAAACAAATTCTAAATTCTACTTCCAATAGTTACTGACATGAAGGTCTGTATTATTTTTCTGACCACTTGTGGTCATAGCTGAGGCTCTTATCATTTGCTTGGATTCTGAGCAAGGCCTCCAGGATACAAAATGGAAGAATTTACTGCCAAACAGAAGTCACCTTCCTTCCTGCCTTCCCAATTATGTAACAGTGGACAAACTCTTAGAGTCCGGCAGAAATTTTGTTACTGAATTTTGTTGCTTTTATCACAAGTCAAAAAATGTAAACAAATCATATGATGGTGGTCCCTAGAGGGCAAATCCCATCACAATGGATACAAGATAGTACAGATTCTTTGGTTCTATCAAATGCCACTTGTAATAAGTATGTCATTGACTGGAGCCTGGAAATCTTTATATGAGATAAGATTTAGTGCCACCATATTGAATGTATGTTTGACTTGTGTTCACATTTCCCTTAAGGTGTAGCTCTTGAAAGGGTAGGGATAAGTCCCAAGGTTCCTGCCTTTCCTGACTCCTCATCTACTTCTTCCCACCTTATAAGACACATTAATAAGGTATGATAGGCAAGGAAGGGAGGAGCTGCATGCCCCTTGTTCCCTGGTTAGCTTGAGTAACATTAACTAACCATCTCACATCAAGCCAAGTCAGTCAAGCCCAGCTCAGAGCAGGGAGCAGATGGCAAATCAAAAATGTTTCTCTTTGTTTCAAACCCCCCCCCCAATTATCTCCCTTCCCGAAGCGATGAATGATGGAATGAGCAAACCCTCGTGGGTCCCTTAGTATTGAAGCTGTCCCCAGAGTCCCCCCAGGAAGGTTAATCAAGCCCATGAGAGCGGAGCCTGTGAGGTAGGGAGCAGGCTGAGGAGAACCTGGGCCACGGCCACTTGGGTCTGTTGCTGCTGCTGCTGTAAGAGCTGTTGGAGGAGCTGCATCTGGTGGTGGGTGGACAGCGGGGTCCCGATGCTGGGCATCTGTGAGGAGGAAGGCAGCAGCATCTTGGGTGAGGCAGTCAGAATGTTCTCCTGGTGATGGAGTGAGGTCTGGAAGAGAATGAACAGGCAGCACAGTGAGGAAGAATCACAGGGACATCTATGGTCCTCAGGGCCTCGTCATGGCCTAGGGCGACCGTGGGAAACTGAAGGTGATACCAATGAAGGGTAAGTTTTAGCAAGTTCTACTACGCCAAAAGTAGGAACTGATCCTTGTGACAGACCAAATCTGTTTCCTAAGGACCTGTCTAAGTATAGCGTACATCAGCTGCCTTCTCACCCTGGAATTTCTTTCAATACCTGGCGTTTTCTAGCCCTGGAACATCCCTTTGTCTCTTGGGCCCTCTTCTCCCATTAATGAGTTAGTCAATCAGTTGGTCAATAAACATTTATTAAGGGTCGACTATGTGCCAGACACTGTGCTAAGCACTGGGGGTATGAATAGAAAAATAAACAACAAACAAACAAACAAACAAATAAATAAATAAAGTGAAATTTTAAAAATTCAAAAATAGAAAAAAAATAAATTACGCTCTAGCAACTTAGAATCTAATTTCCTGGAGGCTCCATTTCGTGGGTAGACTTAGGCTAGCTGTCTCCCAGTCTACTTCTGGTTCTCCAGACTTTGTTACCATGCCCTTACATGGTCACCTCCTCCATCCCACACATACACTTTTCAGCTCCTTTTTGTGTTATCTTCCTCCATTAGGATGTAAGCTCCATAAGGGTAGGGACTGTCTTTCTTTTTGCATATGTTTATAATCTCAGCATATAGTGGACACTCAATAAATTCTCATTGCCTCACTTTACAGAGAAGCTGAGTTTCAATAGGAAAGCCCAGGAGAATTTTTGGCCATTGCAACCCACAGAAAAAGAAAAACACAAAACGGCCCTTGGTCCTATATGATCCCACTTTTATTACTATGGTGATGGTAGTACAGTGTCAGAAAAGGAGACAGAGGGTAATAAGAATCACACAGCTTTTGGAATGTCTGTAAATATTAACTTAGCTGCTGGTGCTCTAAATGCGATGTCATTGTCCAACGAGTCAATATACAACTGGAGGAATGGAATCACATTAATTGAAGTTCTCATTATAAATCAAACCAGAAGAAATAGGCGGTTACAGCTATGAGAAGATGGCTCACAGGCTCTCCTTGGAGAGGCAGATAAAAGCGTAGGTTTCATTGTTCATCCAAAGGTAATAAGGAACATCGTTTCATGGAATAGTTAGTTATTTTGCCTTGTTGTGTTTGTGATAAGAATAAGTGTAAAAGACTTGCATGAAGAAAGCTACAGCTTTTGAATTCTGTTTCAGAGCAGGAGAAAATTCTACAAACAACATGAGAAGATGCTCCAAATCAAATCAACATTTAAGTGGTGACTACAATGCAAATGGGCTAAAGGGGGTGATGGCAGAGAGAGAGAGAGAGAGAGAGAGAGAGAGGAGAGAGAGAGAGAGAGTGAGAGAAGGAAGAGGAGGAGGAGGGAGGGAGAGAAGAGAGAGGAAGGAAAGAGGGTGGGGAGATGGGAAAAGAAAAAGACAGAGTGTGTGTGTGTGTGTGTGTGAGAAAGAGAGAAAGAGAGAGAGACAGAGAGAGAGAGAGAGAAGAAAGAGGAGGAGGAGGAGGAAGAGGGAGGGAGGGAGGGAGAGAGAGAGAGAGAGAGAGAGAGAGAGAAGAGAGAGAGAGAGAGAGAGAGATTGAGAAATGTTAGAAAACATGGATCAGAATCAAGAAATGAAAGAAGCCACAGAAACTTCATGCTTACAGATCTTGAATACTTTATCCAAGAAGAGAATCTAGAGGGACAGGATGTGTGGCAAGGTCAAATAACATCAGAGAAAATAAAAATAGGTATATTTTGATAGACAGGAAATGATCAGTACAGGAGTTATTTCTGAATCAATTGTCTGTGTATAGTATAATCAACAACTTCTTAGGATGAAGTTCAATATCAATGCTAAATTATATGTATAAAGATTAGAAGATATGGCACACAACTTAAAAAGAAAACTTCAGCTTGGGGTAAGGAAATAGATAAAGGAACAGACATCATGAGATCCCAGATGTACAGCTAGAAGAGACCTTGAAGGTTTTTCCAGTCCAATTCCCTCATTTTACAAATGAGGCTTAGAGGTTAAATGACATGCCCAAAGTCACACAGGTAGTAAGTGGCAGAATCAGAAATCGAATCCAGGTCCTCTGACTCTAAATCCAATACTCTTCCCACCAAAAGAGGCTGTAAAAGATCTTGGAGAGAAAATACTTGATCTCCTTATCAAACACAGAGATATGATGGCTAAAGACAACACCAGCCCATAGTCTGAGGATGCTGAACTATTAAAAGCTATGTTGTTGTTGTTATTGTTCAGTCACGTCCAACCCTTCATGACCCCATTTGAAGTTTTCTTGGTAAAGATACTGGAATGGTTTGTCATTTCCTTCTCCAGTTCATTTTACAGATGAGGAAACTAAGGCAAACTGGGTTAAGCAACTTGTCCAGGTTCACACAGCTAGTAAGTGTCTGAGACTGGATTTGAACTCATGGAGATGAGGCTTCTTCACTTGAGGCCCAGAGCTTTATCCACTGCACCATCTAGCTGCCATTAAAAGCCTTATCACCCCATAAACCAAAGAGGGACAGAAATTTGTAGAAAACCTGGCATGTAGAAAACCCACTGCATCCAACTGAGTTGGGTCATCCCAAGAGCATTCAAGGATGAAACTGTATAGAAGATTTTTGGACAGATACTGTATAGGAACAATTATCTGGGTCCAGAACCGAACAGGACAAGAAGAGAGAGGGGTAGATTACATGCATTGGAAAATTACGCAATAGTTTTAATGACCCCCAAATTGCAAAAACCTATACTTTTCATAGTAGTGGTCTTTTGGTGTGTTTATATGGCTGTGAATCAGGAAATGCTATAGTCACTAAGGAATCAATGTTTTAGGTTACTTAAAGTTAATATAGAGAAGTGTAGTAATCATATTTTTGATTTCATAGCTTATAACTACACCAAGCCTTTTGGGATAGCCTGTATTACCAACGATAAACTGCACACGTGAAGTAACATCAAAGAGACATTGGCTGGAAATGGAGGAGGGTCAGTCACATAGTGAGGGAGGGAGAAAATAGATAGCTTCATCTTTAAGTAATGTTAAGAGACCAAGAGAAAGGTGGCCAGCATGTTGAGTGAACCTCCTCTGTAGAGGATTGATGGGAGGTCTTGTCCAAGAATAGTATAGCTTGAGAAGGCATGGATGTATTGTGGTAGAGACCATTGGGGGCAGGACCCTTTTTGATGAGATCAGACATGTTAAATTGCTGAAGAAGTATTGGCATGTACAGATAAGAAGCCAACTTGTGCTCTGACAGCTGTTCATGCTTCTTTCTTCACTGATAAATATTCAAAGTGGCCCAGAACAAGAGACAGTGAGAGTTGTCTGACTGATTAGGGGCTGGGAAAGAAGGCCTTGTTGAATAAACAATGCAGTTGGACAATTATATTTTGACACTTTGGCAATCAATCTAACGCAGTGGGAGATGGATGGCTCATATCATCCAATCTCTTCATTGCTAACCATCCCCCTAATGCTGAGCCATTTCAGGCCATAGAGTCATAGAGATAATAGTAAAAAGACACAGGGGTTGGCCATGGCTGTCATTATGGAAACCCATATGGAAAATGAGAGAGAGGGTTAAGGAGAGCATGAGTCTGCTTCCATGCAACACTTTGCTGACTCTGACATATAACTGTAGCATATTGAGATGGCTCTCACTGAGCTGGGACACCAAGCCCAGTGAGATTCATGTAAGAAGGAATTTGGGATTGTTTTTAACATGTAACTGGGGAAATTTTTTTTTTAAATAAATGAAAGAGCTCATTGAAAAAAAAATTTTTTTAAAAATCAAGAAAGAACCTGGGTCTGTACCCTGAATTTGGGCCCTAAATGTAAAAGGAGAACTGGGATGAAATCTCCTTTAGCTAAAATCAGTTTCCATCTGCCCTTCCACTTCAACTCTCTAATTCTCCCCCTCAATCTTGCTGGATACTTTATTATATAATAGCTCTTAATTATATAATAGCATTTCATTACTCAGTTGAGTTGTAGGGAGATGAGTTCTGAGGATGACTGAGGGTTGTGGTGGGAGCAAGAAAGAGATCTTGGCCCGCTGTTGGGATGGTGGAAGAGGGGTAACCTTTTGCCTACCTTAGTGTCTGTGAGGACATCTCCTTCCTTCCCCACTGCATCAAGGTCAGTCACCCCTCGGCTGAATTCTAGGATGTCACTCCCTGGGAGAGGGATGTCCACAGCATCGATGTCGGTCTCCTCTGCAGTGGCTGTGGAGGCCTTCTCAGCTCCAGTCAGTTGGCGGGCTACAGGGACAAGACAAAAGTGAAGGACCGCCCCACAGCAAGGCTAACATCGTCATCTTCACTGGTGGCTCGGTGATAGAACTCTCACCTGTCACAGCAGAGGCCAGGCTCAATTCCCAACCAATACAACAAACAATTTTGAGAAGCAGTTTGGTGTACTGCAGAGATACCAAATACACAGCCCACAGCACGCAACACTCCCTAGTACAGTCTAAACCAGATTAAAATGAAATTGGAAAATATTGAACAAATAAAAAATACAACAAAATGTGTTGTATTTATTATACAAGATTTCTTAAAATGGAAATTTATTGCTGTAGATTTTTAATCCTCTCTTATGTTCTGCTGTGCACATGGCAATGCTTTTTTTCTTTTCTTATTTTATATTTAAGTTTTAGTCTTTAAGTTTATAATGTTTCTTTTTCTTTTCTTATTGTATATTTACATTTAAAATAAATTAATAAAACATACAATAAAACATAGGTAATGTTACATTTTAAAACTAAGTCAATTTGCAGTCCTCAGGGATCCTTATGTAATATTCAGTGGGTCCCATTGCTACTGGGGTTTGACACCACTGGCGCAATGGATAGAGCGCTGGACCCGGATTCAGGAAGACCTGGGTTCAAATCCCAACTCCAACACTTTCTAGCTGTGTGACCTTGGGCAAATCACTTAACTTCTCCAAGCCTGAAGTTCTTCATATCTTTTAAATAAGGGGGTTCACTTAGATGACCTCTAAGGTGCCTTTCCAGCTTTGAATCTATTACCCTATGAACCTTACATCTGTATAACACTAGATACTTTTCAAGGCGTGTGTTTCAAGTCAGGAGGTCTTGGAAGGAAGACCTATGGATTTCACTTAAAAAGACATTTCTGTTCAATACCAGTCACGTCATTCATGGGAACCAAATTTCTTTATACATAAAATGAAGAAGGGGGAATAGAGATCACTGAAGTCCCTTCTAACTTTGCAAATCAATGTGTAAACCACCATATAAGGCCCTTTTCTGTTCAGGTTTTGCTACCTAAGTGTCTTTCTCCCTTGGGTTCATAGGAGTACAGATTTATAGCTGGAATGGAACTAAGTCAGAGATCATAAAACCCAATCCCCAAACGGAGGCCCACAAACATTAAGTGATTTGTCCAGGAAATCAAACCTAGGTCTTCCTAATTCTAAGTCCAGTGCACCATCCATCATACCTCAATGCATCTAACGTCAAACCACAAGGTAAGTCTCTCTTCAGGTATGGTAGCAACTGGTCAGTCAGTGAGTCTGTGTCTGTGTGAATCTGAGAGTGTCTACAGGTTCTCTTACATGAAACAGGCTAAGCCAACATGCCCTAAGCCAACCAGACACTCAATATGAGCTGCCTTTCCCCCCCCTTCCTTTCACCACATCTAGGGAATCAGACTTCACCAGTCTGAAGTGTCTGCTTCATAGCACAAAGCGTTCTGTGAATTCTTCTGGTGCGAAACCCACAAAAGCCATTGGGGAAAACATGACTGATATTCACAAAGTATTTAAACAGTGTGTCTGGATTTCCTCTTGGCTGCTCCTGGGAACTGTGATGATGGGTCTGTTTAGGGCTTAGGAGGGAGTTTATAGGAAGAGGCAACAGCTGGCCCAGTCCAGCCGGCCAGAAGGAGCAGGCAGCTGCTCCAGCAGCCACTTCCCACGCTGAAAGAGATATAGCTCCACAAAAAGAGGCTCTCCACAAGGAAAGGACACATTAATAATAACAATGATAATAATAATAATAGCTGTCTTTTGTTTTTCCATCACCTTCATTTCCAAATCTATCACTTGTCCTATCCCTACCCAGAGAGCCACCACCTATATCGAGAAATAAAAAAGAAGGAAAAAGAACAAACAACATATCCCAACAAGCCAATCCATTAACTAAATCTGAAAGTATCTGCAATGTAACACACCCAGGGCCCAAAGAGGGCAAAGAGGTTCATTTTCTTGTTCCCAATACACAACAAATATTTATTGAATTGAATCGAGTGGAGTCATTAGCTTGAACAGAGTGTAGGTCAGATGTGCTAGCTCAAGCCGAATCTATGAGTGGAATACCACCCTGTGGAGATGCCAAGCACAGGAAAATTTGAGGCCATTAGGACTACTGTGGGAGGAAGCCAAGATGGTGGAGTGAAAGCAGGACTACTGTGGGAGAAATTTTGATTTTGAAGAGAAACAGAAGCAACTCCAGATAATACAAGTAAATATGAATCAAGATGGAAAATAGCTTCTTGAAGGAGAAGTTAAAGAAATGGGAGCTATCTAGTCTAGAGAATAGAAGTGACAATGTTTCAGTCAAGGGTGGGATAGTGTGACATATAAGAAGAAATACTTAAGTAAAGAAGTTTACTAAGGGAAGATGCACGGGTGAAGATCAGAGAAGAAAGAGAGAGAATAGAGGTAATATTGCCATCAGAGGCCATATGGACAGAAAGAGGATATAGATGAAGAATTTGGGAAACATTAGTCAGGTTTTATCTGGAGCTCTCTCCCTGCCAGAATGAAAGTAACTAATAATTTCTTGACTTCCTTTTAGGATTTTCATTCATTCATTCATTCATTCATTCACTCATTTTAGGATTCCTCCTTTAAAAGATGGAGAAATCAGCAAGGAGAAATTTTGTTCTGGATCTGATTCTAATTGACAAGAATAAACTGGTTTCTGGTGTGAGAGCAATGGGAATTTTGTTTGGGGGTAGTTGGGGGAAAGGTGTGGAGTATTAAGTGTGGAGTGGGAAATCCCTTTCAGAGTAGGCAGTTGTACATAGGAAAGCTAGGCATGGGTTGACAACCACTCAAGATTCTCCCAGATGAGATTTCAAAGAGTTCATAGGAAGGAAAGGTACCTTCTGTGGGAAGATAGGCACACTAACATGCTGTTGGTGAAGCAATGAATTGGTCCAACCATCCTGGAAAATAATTGGGAGCAATGCTAGAAATTGGACATACCTTTAACACAAAAATACGCCTACTAGGCAATTACCTCACAGAGGTCAGCTACAGAGAGAAAGGTCCCATTCGTATGTAAGCTCATTGAGGGCAGGAACTGTTTTTCTGTTTTTGTCATTAGGTATTCCGTAGAGTCTTGCTGCTGATTAAGTGGCTGATTAGCATCCAGAGATGGCACACCCCTCCCCCCAACTAGAGATCAGGGCTCATCCATCATAGTGTTGTTCCTTTGCTGTTTCCCGTATCCCACCCACTCTGTCCCAAATTTGCTGTTTGCCTGACATCTCCAATAATGCGGCATGTCAAAAAAGAAGCTGCCAAAGTTGGGAGAAAAATTCCTAAGCATCGCTAGGGGCTACTCTCTAATGACTGTCATAAATCTAGCCTGTCAGTTTCTTAATATGAGAAGTATAAGCTCCCAGTGTCTTAAGTGTCTTAAGCTTTGTGAAACTCCTTTTACTGCTTTCAGATGACCTCTAAGATCCCTTTTCACCTTCAGAGTTCCTGACATGACCAATCACACCACACCCCTAGCTGGTGATAAGTCCAGAACCAGATCTCAGAAGGTTTGGTTGTAAGTCTAAGGTTTCTTTCTTTGTTGTACAAGGACTAGTATGACTCACCTGAAAGGCAAGTCATTTCCTCTCTCTGGGTCTTAGTTTCTTCATTTGTAAAATGAGACAACTGCTTAGATGACCTCCTAAAGATTATCCTGAAAACCTTGAGCTTTTTTTCCCCAAGGAATATAATTTTCAGGCAATAATAGCCAGTATTTACATAGCGTGCTTTAAGGTTTGCAAAGTGCTTTACAATGATCACATTTGATCCGTACAATAACCCGGGAGGTAAGTGCTACTGTTATCTCCATTTATACAAATGGATGTTAAAGTGATTTACCCTGGGTTGCTCAGCTGGTAAGTTTCTGAGACTGGATTTGAACTCAGGTCTTCCTGATTCGAAGACCAGTGGTCAATTTGCTGTTTCACCTGGACTTGATTTGATCTTGTAATCGTGATTTAGAGTTGGAAGGGATCTTAGTGGCCATCTAATCCAGTCCCCTCATTTTACAGAGAGGCTGACTTGTACAAGGTCAAACACAACTAGTGAGTGTCCCAAGTGGGATATGACCCCAGGACTTCCATGTCTGGATCTAGTCCTCTTGCTATTTCACAGCACCGCCTCTCCTATTCTCTTCATTGAGCAAGACATCACAAAAGTGCCAGGGCCAATGTGTGTTGAGAGGATTAAACGAGAAACAAGACTAACATCATTCATGGAAAAATAACTCAGAGAGTATCTCCTATTGACAACGGACTCTGCATATACTCAACAGCACTTTCTTACCGTAAGTAATAAATCACTCCCAGCCTAAGGAAAAGATCTGTGTAATAGACTTCCAAATAATGATTCTGTCTGCTGATTGTGAAGCGACCCTCCCTTTTCTCAGTGGAATGGAGGAAAGCATATATTGTCAGACCTGGCTGAGCTATTGTTTTATTTTGCTTAATTGTCTTCCTTTGAAGCAAGGGAAGGCAGGCAGGAGAGGAGTCGTTGGTAAGTGACAGTGGCACTCAAATACTTGTACAGCTTGACTGATTATACATTAATAATTTAAATATCTTAAAAGTAACTTTCTTATAAAGAGCTTGAGGTCTATCAAACTCTATTCTCCTTCCCCCCTCCCCTGCCCACATACATACTCCAATCACGGACAGACTTTATTATGGGGGGGGGGAATTAAATTTTTTAAAATTTGGTAGAAAAGAAGTGATTTAGAAATCTTGTACAATATGTCTCCATTCTGGACCTTGCAGGCTAGTAATGACTAGGAGAGGGAAAGCAGGGCTTCTTGGGGGAATAAGCTAGTACCTTAGACTTTTATGATGTTTCTCTGGGAGCGGAAGGACCATTAACACATAAGAACCACAGCCGTGGTACAGGGTGGTTTAAGGTGCCCTGGAGTAGCTGCAGATCCTAGGTCTAAGTTCCAGAAGGACAAATGGGCAGGAGCTGCCAAAGGGACAAA